CGCAGCGCTGGGCCAGGGACGCGCCCCCCGCCGCGTCGTAGGAAAATTACCTGGTGTTGGGGGTGGGGCGGAAGGCGCCTCCTATCCCCCGACTACGCTTGGGCCACCCGCCCCGCACCCTCGGCCTGACCCAGCCTCTCCCTGCCTCCCCTCGCCGCCTCCTCCCAGCAGTCCCCCAGGAGCGAGCTGGGAGATGCCCCAAATCGGACCCCTCCCCAGTTAAACGAAAACACCTCCTGACCTTTCCCAGCCTCCTGGGTCCGCTGAGGAACCCGCAGCCCCAGGCCTCGAGCCGATTGCTGGGACTGCGGGGCGGCCGGGCGCGGGGCCAGAGGCGGGGCGGGGCGGGTCGGGTCGGGGGCCTTTAAGAGGCGCGGCCGCCGGGACCGACACAGACGCGGACAGCGCCGGTACTCGCCGCCCCGGGACTCGCGCAGCCCGCAGCGCTCCGGCTCCTCCTCCTCTCGCGACCGCCCTCCGCAGCGATGGACCGAGACGGTGACCCAGGTAGCCGCCGCCTGGACCGCTCGCTGCGGCGGGGAGGGGAGATGGGGTCGGCGGGCGAGCGCTGCACAGAGCGGAGTCAGAGAGCGAGGGGGCCCGGAGACCTGGCGCGGCAAACTTTCACGCCAGCGAAGTCCTAGAGGCGGTCTCCAAAGAGCACATCTCTCTGCTATCTTGGTCTGGCGGGAGGCCTTGAGAGGCGACCGGCAGGGAGAGAGGACTCCTGGGTCCCATTTAGCCAGGAAGTAGCACGAGAGGACCCCCACATTCCCGCCTCCCAGCTTCCTGAGGGTCTGTCTGGCGGGCGCCTGGGATGCGTCTGGGACGGAGGCTGCGAGCCTTTTCTTTCATCAGCTCTTCCAGCTCTGGGCCTTGGGCCGCCTGGATCCCCGTGGGTTCCTTGGGGTCCCTGGCCTGGCCTCACCTATCCCTGCCTTCCTCCTGAGCTCCCTTGTCTGGAGGGGCGGCCCCTCCCCTCCCCGGCGTGGTGAGATGCCCAGTGGGGACCGGGCCAGCGGTGAGGGAGCATTGGGGGCAGCTTTGGCTGGTGCTCAGAGCCTTCCCAGGCTGCCCAGTCATCCTCTCTGGCACTCAAGACCCCTCACCCCCAATCGCCCAACTCCCTGCGGGGCCTGCAGGGGTTGCCTGCTGAGTCAGGATGGAAACAAGACCTGCCTGCAGACAGCCCTCACTCTTTCCTCATCAGGTCCAGCTCGGGGTGGGCATTGCTTGGGGTATGCGGTGGCAAACAGACTGATGAAAGCTCTGGCCCCCCCTACCCCCCATTCCCCCCACCTCCAGCCCTGAAAATCCCAGCTCCTGCAGCCCTTGCTCCCAATCCACGGCCTTCTGGCCACACCCTCTGTAGGGCTCCAGAACTGGCTCCTGCTTTTTCCCAGGGCTCAGCTATTCCCTGGACTCTGGGGCCCACTCCAGGTGAGTGAATCAGCCTCGCAGGCAGGCAGCTTCCAGGGGCCAGATAACTTTCCGCCGGCAACAATGTGGGGAGTTGTGTGTGTAAGAGAGAGGGTGGGGGGAGCTGTAATTGGATCTGGGGCCTTGAGTGCCAGGCCCCGGGGCCAGAAGAGGGGACTGGGTGAGGTGCACCTTTCGGGGAGCATCAGGTGTCCGATGGGGCCAGGGCCGGAGGGGAGGGCTGGAGAGGTGAGGACACTGGGCCCAGCTCCCCAGAGAGCTGTGGGCATCTGCCTGGGCAGGCGATGTGGCTTCAGGGCTTGGCATTTTCCTCTGTCTTCCTGCTGTTCTGCGATGTGGTCTGGGAGAAGCTGTTAAGCCCCTTTTGGCCTCAGTTTCCTCTTTGCCAAAGGGGCAGGTGTAAATCCCCACATCATAAAGATGTGGCCAAAAAAAATGCTAATAAGGAAGGAGAAGTGCTGTGTTCAATGTGGTTCACTCAGTAAGACTGACTGAGGACTCGCTGTGTGCTCTGGGCTCTGCGAAAGCTCTCAAGGGCCCGACTGTGTGTTGGGCAGGGAGGAGAAGCTGCATGTGAGGAGGTTAAGGGCTGGTGGGCCTGGAGACTTGGGTCTGGGCCCTGCCACCTGTCCCCTTCCCCAGTGCCTGGCCTGTTCCCACCACCGCCTTGACTCTCCAGGGCCTAGCCCATGGGAGCTCCCCATCGCAGGTCTGAGAGCTGTAGTCTTCCTGATCGCCCAGAGTGGCCCTGTCTCCTCCTCACTGGCTCTCCCTCATCCAGGCATCTGGGGCACTCGGTGTCCACTTACTCAAGGCTGTGACGGCCCCGCTGAAGCCAACTGGGATCCAAGAGACAGTCCGGCTGCTGCGGTGACATCTGCCTGCCTCCTTACAATTCAGAATGCTCTTGTCCCCCTCGTCAGGGGATTTGGACATCTGTCCTGTTTGTATGGCCTAGCACAATGATTACTCCCATTTACAGATGAGAAAACTGAGGGCCAAGGATGGGAAAAGGAGGTAGAGACAGTTTCCTTCCCCAAGGCCCTATGTCATCTCCTTGCTTGTTATGGTTTATTTAAATAAGTCCCTCCTCATCCCCAAATCACACAATAGCTGGGGACAGCTGGGTTTCTGGGCTCTGTTCTCCAGCCCCTGAAGGCTCCAGGTCCCATGTCCCCTTCCCTAAATACTGGCAGTGTGTCCTTCAACAAGTCACTTAATCCCTGAGCCTGAATATTTGCACCTGCAAAGTCAAAATCCTGGCCTTGGTGCAGTGGAGCATGACTGTAATCCCAGCACTTTAGGAGGCCGAGGCAGGAGGACTGCTTGAGTACAGGAGTTGAGGCCAGCCTGGGCAACAGAGTGAGATCCTATCTTTAAAAATAAAAGTCAGCCGGGCGTGGCGGCTGATGCCTTTAATCCTAGCACTTTGGGAGGCCTAGGTGGGTGGATCACCTGAGGTCAGGAGTTTGAGACCAGCCAGGCCAACATGGCGAAACCCCATCTCTACTAAAAATACAAAATTTAGCCAGGTGTGGTGGCACATGCGTGTAATCCCAGCTACTTGGGAAACTGAGGCAGAAGACTCGCTTCTCAGCTTCCAGCTACCCAGGAGGCAGAGGTCGCAGTGAGCCGAGATCACGCCACTGCACTCCAGCCTGGTGTGTAGTGACAGAGCGAGCGAGATTCCATCTCAAAAAAAAAAAAAGGCAGAATCCTAACACTGCCTACTAATTCAGTGAATTATTTTGTGGAGGCTGTGGTGGTTTAAGATGGCTCTGGAGCCAGGCTGTCTGGGTTCAAATCCAGGCTCCAACCACTGATTAGCTGTGTGATCCTGGGCTGTTTCACCTCTCTGTGCCTCAGTTTCCTCATCAATGAAATAAGGACAGCAATAAGAGCAACCTCAAAGAAATGGTATGAGGATTTAAAGAGTAAATGAAGTTGAAATGCTTTGGACAGTGGCTAACACTTGCCGAGTACCCCCAAAACATGAGTTCCTGACAACAGACCAGGGAAAGTGCCAGATGCCAGGCACAGGACATGAAGCTGTGTTTTCCAGACCATGTTCTGGCCCTCATGAGGCTCCGTATGGTCCAGAGACAGGCGTTTATCATAGGATCACACCACAGGACAAAAGCTAGGAAGGGCTGTGAGAGGGTGTCATAGGGGGAAATCCCAGAAGGCTTCCTGAGGAGGTGAGGGGAGCAGGGATCTCAGAGGGTGGTTGGGAGGATGAAAGAAGTTCCCGTGTGAAGCATTGTACAGTGCTGTAGATGGATGTCATTAATAATAAAAATATGATCCTTGCTGCCATCTGCCCAGGCCTGGGCTTTCCTGGTCCAGCAGAGGAAACAGGCCTCTGAGGCACCTCTTTGGACTTACGGGCTGATCCAGGGTTGGTTCCTGGCCCTGTGGCCCTCTTCCTTGGGCACCAGTCTGTAGTCACAGAACCTCCGACCCCAGCTGTGGATTGTCCCAAGGTGGGTGGGGGAGGATATGGGCACATTGCAGCCCTAGGGCCTGGAGGGGTACAGGGTGGGGGAATCACAACCCCCCACCCACCCCTGCCTGCAGAAAGCGTGGGGCAGCCCGAGGAGGCAAGCCCGGAGGAGCAGCCGGACGAGGCGAGCGCTGAGGAGGAGCGGCCGGAGGACCAAGAGGAAGAGGAGGAGGAGGCGGTGGCCGCCGCGTACCTGGACGAGCTGCCCGAGCCGCTGCTGCTGCGCGTGCTAGCCGCACTCCCGGCCGCCGAGCTGGTGCAGGCCTGCCGCCTGGTGTGCCTGCGCTGGAAGGAGCTGGTGGACGGCGCCCCGCTGTGGCTGCTCAAGTGCCAGCAGGAGGGGCTGGTGCCCGAGGGCGGCGCGGAGGAGGAGCGCGACCACTGGCAGCAGTTCTACTTCTTGAGCAAGCGGCGCCGCAACCTTCTGCGCAACCCATGCGGGGAAGGTGAGAAGCCCTCGCCGGGCGAGCTCAGCTTCCCCTGCTGCGAAATGGGCCGAAATGGCGCCGGCTGGCTTTGAGGGAGAAATGGAAGCGCCTGGCTCAGTGCCAGCAATGGGTAGCCCCAAGGCTGTCTATTACTGTACCTCTCTGGCCACCTGCGTCCTGGGGTCTCCCGGCTCCTCCCACCCTCAGCCAGCTGGAGCAGGGCGGGATGGGGGACATACCTGCCAGGAGGCAGATTTAGAAAGTGCCCACTGGTTCACTCTCTCATTCATCATCTGCCCACCCAGACACCAAGTGCCACCTTTGCCCTGCCCACCTCCACATAGTGGCAAGAGCCAGCCCTGCCACAGCCTTAGCAGGGACTGAGTGACCAGGGTGGGGCTGTCGTGTCCCTACAGAGGACTTGGAGGGCTGGTGTGACGTGGAGCATGGCGGGGACGGCTGGAGGGTGGAGGAGCTGCCTGGAGACAGTGGGATGGAGTTCACCCACGACGAGAGCGTCAAGAAGTACTTCGCCTCCTCCTTCGAGTAAGGAGAAGGGGGTGGAGGGGGGGGGGAGGGGGAGCGTCCGCTCTGTTCTAACTCCAGTTCTCCCAGGTGGTGTCGCAAAGCGCAGATCATTGACCTGCAGGCTGAGGGCTACTGGGAGGAGCTGCTGGACACGACTCAGCCGGCCATCGTGGTGAAGGACTGGTGAGAGGGCCCTGGGGTGGCATGGGGCTGGGAGGAGTGGGGTAAGGCAGAGGGGTGAGCCAGCTGGGGACCCCCCCCCCAGGGATGCTGCCTCCCCACTGCAGGGGTTGAGGCCACGTGGGCCACGGGTCTGCAAAGGTTGATAGCTTCGGAGTATTCAGGAGAACCTGGAAACCCACCTCCCCTCCTGAGTTTTAATTGTTGGCAAATATATGCACATATATATGTTTGTATGTATGTAATGTATATACTTCAAAATTAGTCTGCGGTCCAACCAAAGGCCACTCTGTGGACTGGCTTTGGCCCCCAGCTGGAGTTCGGCCAACCTGGAATGTAGTCCTTGGACTGTCACTTTCTCTT